AAAATCCTCAAAGCTATGAGTCTGGTACTTTCAAATATTTTTTTAATATTCGTTTGATATTAAGGTTGTCAGTGAGGCTTAGTTAAGGTTGCGCTATAAAATAGGCTTGCCCTGCTCAACATTATGTAAAGCAGTCCCAGTTTTCTACAAATGTTCAAACAACTTTTTTGGTATAGATCAGGAACTGAATGAAATGTACCAAAAGTTGGAGGCTGGTCCGATAATTCCTTTTGATTGCAACGAGGACAATAATGAGCTGTCACTGTTAAAGAAAAACAATAAAGTTTCAAGTACATAGAATCTGAGTTAGACCTACCTCACTAAGTGTTACTAACCAACTGATCAATTGACCCAGTGAAAGAAAACATTGAGAACTCCGTGAAACTGATTTTTACTTTAAAAGTATTTGTACTATTGTTAGCCATTTAATCAGTTATAGTATCAAAAATGTGATCGAAATTAACAACTTTTTTCCTTCAGGTTTAAATTGAGCAAAAGTGTACTTAGTGACTTTTTGCAATAAGCCGATGATATAAATTATTTTAAACTACATGAGTCTTAATAAAGGAATACAAACAAATACTGAAGTTGGCTCAAGTTAAAAGACTTGCTCGAACAGAAGATGGGGGTCATGGTTGAGGACGATATTTGTGTCGTCCCAAGACCAGATGGCAAAGGGCAGCGAATCTTCCTCCACAACACCAAGAGATAATAAAAATAAATAGCGAGTCTGGAGGAAAAGGAAAATTGCAAGAGGGACCAACCAGTCGGAAAATATACACTCCCATCTTCCTTTATCAGCGTCTCAGTATTTCCTGGATGAAGGAGGCTTAATGCAATCCTATGTTTAACCTAACTCTCTTTGTAAATTTAGATATAGCCTTCACGGGGTTCAACAAAGGTTAAGAAATTAGTAAATAACTATATGTAATTTACTTATTGTACATTGTACAAGATGAAAGCATAAGTATATATATATATATATATGAAGCAAAAGATGAAATGAAAATAATGGATTTCTATGCGAAATCTTCCATTAATAAAAAAGCAGTTAAAATGCTTCAACAGAGAATAATAATGGCCGAGAGAATATTGTGTGTGATAAAAATCCATGGCAACATAAGGTAGTGTTGCCACTTTCTCAACGTTGGTGGTTATTGCAATCATCAATTTGTATTCCAACTTATTTAAAGCCAGATATCACTAATTTTAATTTGTAATAAGGTTAAGGCTTATTTTAAGTTTAATTTAATTCAGTTATCACTAAAAAAATAAACAGAATGCAGTTCGTCACGAATTGACACACAATAAAATAAAAAAATCATTATAAAATATTATTTTTAAACAAATAATCAGTTCATTTTAAGAGAAGTGAGGTAAAATTCTGCTCATTTGAGAGATCAAATAAATAACTACAAAAAGAGAATATCGAATAATTAAACACGCATTTTTGATGTAGAAGGTATTATAATTTCAGAAAACTGCATCATAGTGAAAATAACTATATCTAGTTCGGGATCTATTTTGAAGATTTAGCTACCTCATCAGTGGCAGAAAATTGAAAAGAATAGAACAAACAACCCAAATATCAAAAACCCTCGAGCCAGGTGGCTGATTGGAAGCGTTTGGCTATCACAGAATATCGAAATCGCAAAATGTGCCAAAACTGAGCGATCAGGACCAGGGAAAAATCCAACTGAAATTGTTTCTATTCCTAGTTACTCTTCCAGCAGGGTTTTTCCTGCTGTGATCGCGTACTTTTTGAGATTTTTAAAGGCGACAGGTTCGTATAAAACCTATTAGATTTTGTCCCACTTTATTGAATATGTCATCTACTAAATTATCTGAAACTATTTCAGTAGATTTTTTTGTTGATCATGTAATGTTTGGCTCTTTTTGCGATTTTTGAAATTCTACCATAGCCAAACTCCTCAGTTAGCCGCCTGACTCCAGGGTTTTGGCATTAGGGTTGGCATTTCTAATTTTTTCAATTCTCACTCCTTTTTCCATTGATCACGTAGTTAAATCTTCGGTTTATCCCGGACTAATATTTCTTTGAATTCTAGAATTTTTTTATTCATGAAAAAATTTGAATCCAGGGTTAATTTTATTTTTTAAATTATTCCAAGTCCTTTTTGATACAGATCGGTACTAATTCTAATCCCGACCCTCCCGATCATTTTCCTCTGAACTAAACGATAGGAACAGTTTTGGCACCATTTCCATGCTCCCCTGGAGGTTCTGGGTTCCGGGAGTCAGGTACCTGCAAAATGAAAGGGTCTGACGAAATTCTAGTTCGATTCCAATAGCCACAAATAGTTTTTATTCAAAACTTTGTTTACTGCGTTTCAAAGCCTACCAACAACCTTTCAAAAACTCTTATGTAAATGGTGATTTAATTTACAAATGTTCAACTGAGAGATATTGTGACGCTTTCCTAAAAAGCCAAATTCATTCAAAGTAAATAATAATTAATGTTTTCAAGAAAAATTATACAAACATTAATTTGCAATTCGCCGGGACCACGTTGACGAGTAATCAATGGCGGCCTTGGGCAGGTTAACATTAGTTCTTTAAGATGGTGCCGAGATATGTAAAGTGGTTATCTCAATGCGGTAATGAAAATGTAATAATCACCAACAAACATATTAATTTTTCTATTTAATATTTGTCTTATAGTTCTATGACGGGCCTAACTCTAACTTTAAGAAAAAACTTTAAAGAAACGCTAGCACCAAGCGGTTTAAATTTTAATCAACAGCCGCAATTGAACACAATAAATACGATAAAAGTTGTAAAAGAGTCAATTTCGAAACAAATTACCATATATTTGAATAATCAACAACCCACCAAGTTCATAAAACTGTAATTTCGGAATTTTCTTTTACGCTCCAACGAAAACAGACGCGAATCTCGTAAAAGGGAGTATAAAATGTCCTCGAGGGTTTACTTAGCCTTAAAGCTAACAAACAACTTTAACATCAAAGGGAAGCCAGCAAATGGACTGGAGCGAAGGTACCTGCACCAGTACTGCCTTTCCAGCCATTGCTCATTCTACCGCCGGTTCATAAATTATTAATGAATCTCCAGGTACTTGCAAATATTACCGTAAATTAATATCATTATAAATATATACATATATTTGAAACATTGAATTAGTTGAAAGGAGATTTCCTTTACCTTGGAAGGCTGAGATCAGTTTCCAGGAAAACCGTCTCTTTGTTGCAAGTCATCGTCCTTAATATACTTCAAGACCAGCCAAGTGCTCAATATATCAGCTCAACTCAGCCGCCCAATTCCTTAAAACTTACAAAGTACTAGGAGGGTTTTAAAACCCTCAGACCTATTCCTGACAAATAAGAAATAAATGAATTCATGGGTGATTGCGTTGCACTAGATGTTGCCAAGATGTCGATTTTTCTGGGGGGAGGAGGAGGGGCGATGGAATATTTAAAATTAATTAATTTATAATATAGGGTGTCCCAAAATTACCACAAGTTATAAATTAAATACAAAACACAGTTCTTTTGTTTCCTTTTTCTTTGTCAATTTAACAGCTGATAGTTTAGGCTTAATAAAAATGGTGCGTAATACGAGAGAACAATGTGTTTTCATAGTTGAAAAATAGGAAAAGTCTTGCCGCCATAGTTCGAAAATTTCGTACAAAATAACGCCGGAATAGTGATTTAACCTCATCGAATGTGGAGAGAGTGGTTGAGAAAGTGAAGCAGGCCGGATCAATTTGTGAGGTTAAACCCTCAGTGGCGTTGACCAAAATTTAAATACAATGAAAGTCTTGCGGCCACTCGTCTTGCGGCCTCTCGTCTTGCGGCCACTCGTCCTGCGGCCACTTCGATATTGACACTTCAGCGGCTTGTTTTGGAACAACAAGATCAATTGATCCAGTCTGCTCGACTTTCTCAACCGTTCTCTTCACAGTTGATGAAGTTAAGTCACTATTCCGACCATATTTTGTACCAAATTTTGGAACTGTTGCTGCAAGACTTCCCTTATTTTTCAACGATGGAAAAACATTATTTGTATAACGTTATTTAACATTGCTCGTACAACGCACTATTTTTACTAATCCTGAACTATAAGCTGTTAAATTGACAAGAAAAAAGGAAACAAAAGAAGAAAGAACTGTATTTTGTATTTAATTTAAATCTTGCGTTAATTGTAAGACACCCTATATAAACATAGCAAACACATATTAATGATAATAATTAATAATAATTAATTATGATATAAAACAGATTATGTTTGTATCGCCGTAAGGATAATTACTTTTATTTACTTATTATATTTACATGGAAATATTTTTAAAAAATATAATTGAATATAAGAGTATTTGTTTAGATTAAACACAGAGAAGAGCATACAGCCCTTATAGCATTGGTACATTTCTAGAAAATTTTCAGTTAAAAATGAATTATGTAAAAAAGTGAAAAATATCTTTGATTTCTTAGTGTGTAAAATTTTAAATAAGATAGGTTTTTCACAGTCCGATAAGTTTGTTGCGAAAAATATGGTAAGAATATCACGTTACAATTGAGTGATTGAATCATAGAATCTTAGGATATGTTGATATATATTATTACATTTGAAGATAAATGAAAATTCTAATAAAAGTAACATTTGAGTATCAATTTTTTCTTTTTAATTTCTTTATTGAGTATTACAACAATCTGTCTCTTGGTATCAAATCAAGGTATCAATAAAATAATTACACAGTTACTACCAGAGGCCCTGTCCTAGTCCTAGTCCTGTCGACTTTTCTTAATCGATTTTTTGTTTAAAACATTTTATTCATTCATCTAGCTTATTTATTATCGATTTTAATAATTTTTTTACCAAAAACAATTGGGGAGGAGGCGAAATGATTTTCTCGGCCACTCACTATTTGCATTGAGGGGAGGGAGGAAGGTGGCCATCGCCCCCCCTCCTCCCGCACCTATACATGTTGCAGATCTGATCCGAAGCAGCTTCCTATCCTTACTATAGAAGTCACCTCTCCGCCCGGTAGCTTATAATACACCTCGCAGCTGTGAGCTGAAGGCCATAGAAATAAAAAAATGTTGCACTCCTCTCTAATTCCTCTTAATGTTTTGAGTTGCTTTTAGGAAACAATCTGAGGGATCAATTTTAATCTAGACCTCTCATTTTGACAAATAAATTATAAAATGCCCAAAAATAAAATTAGAAAAAATTCATCTCTTTTGTTTATTTTCAAATTCTGTTTGATTCCTCGTGTAAGCATTCATGGAAGAAACTTTTTCAAGCAAAAGTGGGATTGAATACAGCCTCAGTGATGATACTTTCTTTTTGTTTTGTTAATAATAAGCTAATACTAATCGGGTTATCGCTATGATGAAGAGGAGATCGCGGGCTCATTTCCTCTTCCTGCCACCCTCGGGCCTCACCGGAAGCCTCCCCCCTCGGGGCCTGGACGGCTTGCAGTCCGGCAAGGAGGTGTCCTGGTGCTTGCACTTCGATCGCACGCTTTTTTCGATTTTATTTTGGACCAGCATATTTATCATTTCCTCCAAGTGTTGCAACCTGGCCCTTATATTTCTTTTCTGTGTTTCATCGCTTCCTCCGGTCCTGTATCGGCCAGTCCCTATAGGACGCTGGTGTGTCATCGCACCCTTTGTCATCAGCCAATTTCGATAAGTGATTAATCTTATGAAGCTATACATTTTTTTTCGGTTTAAAATTTTGAGTTTTAGACTGGATTCACACCTGTTTTATCTTGGCTTAATTGTATAACATCATTTATATCAACATGAATTATTTTTTATTTTTAATTGTTAAAAAGAAGAGACTCACATATGAATATGAATCAAAAAAAAATAATTCAATTTGAAAAAAAAAAAACTGCGAAAATAATCCTATCTTTTTTTAAATTATGAATGTTCACATTTCATAACATGAAACTAGCAAATTTCTAGAATACTGGAAATGTATAATTTATTCTGTATTTTGAGCTCAAATTTCAGAAAAGAAAGTCGAGACAAAATATGGAGTACTTGCTAACCGGCAGCCTTAGCCGAACACAATCAAGTTGGGTGAAAACTATTGCAACTAACGTGTTTCGAATACGTGTTAAAAATGTGAATACAAAATACTTGGATAATGTAATTATATTGTTATACATGCTTTGATAATGTAATTATATTGTTATACATTTAGAACACGGTTCATCATATCCGCTATATTTTAAGAACAACAGGTTTATGTTTATATGAATGCATTTTCATCTATCGCTACTTTAGAAAAAATCTGTTACGATGAAAACATTAGCAAGTTTCCATTTCTGTGTAATGAGGAGCCCGACCCCGATTATTTAGGATTATTAATTATAATAACAAGTATTGCTTCGATTAGATCAATGCTTCCTTCAAAGCTGGGGGAGGTTACGGCTGTGGTGTAATCGATTTCAATGAAGCTTTTTTTGGTGACACGAGATCGAAAACAGGAGACCAATGTCCGAGGCTTGCCAATGTGACCTAGGAGATACAAGTTAAATTCGTTTTCAGCATTCTCTAAAACTCTTAAACACGATTTTTTTTTAAGTGAAAACTTCTTCAATCGTGTTTTCCACTTTTTTGTCGGGAGTGAATTAAATTGGTCCCTGTAGGTTTTAACGCTCGGCTGTAGTCGACTAATTGAAATATTTTTACATACAAAATAAAATATCTCAGAAACTATAAATCGGGCCTACATACTGCAAGCGAGGAAATTGTTCAGAATTTCATCCTCTCTGCAATATACTATAATTCAACTTTGTATCTTCGCAAAAAGGAAAACGATAGCGCCAAAAAATCAAATAAAAACGACTGTTTTGAACATTTTGACTAAACTATCTTAAAATTTTAATACGGTGGAGAATTCAGAAACCGATTTGCGGAAGTCAATGTAGTTTTTTTTTTATATGGTGATAAAGGGAGGCGAAAACGAAAAAATTGCGCCGAAACCAAATGATAAGGCTAGTTGAACATATGGCTTAAAATATTTCAGGTACTAAAAATCGGACCTGCATACTGTAAGGGAGGGAAATGGTTAGCATTTCATCCTCTCTGTAATGAACTGTTATTTATAATTTATATTCCATATTATTAATCTCGTCTTGTTGATGTTTTCATTTATATCGTGTGGTATAAAGCGCACATCTTAGTTTTTTATATAACTTCTGTAACGGGAGTCAGTAATTTGTCGAAACTCAATCGAGTGCAACAGAAAATAGAATAGATACACATAACCTTTTTATTTCTTCTTTTTATGACCATATATATATATATATATATATTATATATATTGACTTCCGCAAATCGCTTTCTGAATTCTCCATCCTATTAAAATTTTTCCCGTCTTATTGGCTAAGAGCCAACTATATAAACAAATATAATTATGAAATTTAATGGATGAAAACAATTCCTCTTCATTCGGAAAGTGGCCATTTTACTGAGCGCTTATTAATATATTATTATTAATACTGGGAAAGACTGGGAATGAAGTATTAACAAGAATACTTCAACAAGCAGTGTACAAGGTTTTTTCACATTAAAGATTTTTACTTGTTTTAATTCCTTCCCGAAGAACAGTTGGAGAGAATATTGCCGCCTAAATGATTCGCGAAACCCTGGAGCATTGGATTAATTCGCCCTCCTCCACCCTCCCCCATTCCCAAAACAATCGGAATTGATTTTATGCAAAATGTGCCCTAGCGGTTCGACCCGGGTCAGGTGGAAACCACTCGTTGCTCGCCAATTATATCTACCGGCCATTAAGGCTATTAGAAACCATTTCATTTTGAAACCACATTGTGAAGTATCGGGCCCCGCTAGCCTCAGGAATTGAAACTGATTGGGGGGGGAGGTTGATTTAACGAGAGGTGGCTGTTTGTTTTCTATTTTGCGATAACAATTCAGTCCGTCTCTCTCGTACAGCTGTCTACGATGTTCGTCGCTCCATGGTTATAGGAAACTATCATTCCGCTCTTCTATAAAGAAGTGTATACTTAAGTATGTAAATAATTATAATTTAGCGAAACATCGAGATTTATGTTTGCTATAAACTGACTGATAATGGTAGAAAGAATAAATCGATAACGAATCACAAAACGAATTTTATCGAGGAGAAGCCTCGACCAGCTCCGTGGAGTTGACAGCAACCAATTGCAGGCGACACGACAATTATAATAACACATGAGACAGGCCGCACCGAATTTACAAAAATACTTTACTAATTTACCAAAACCGTATTCCCTTTGGAATTTGAAATTCAATCACGAAAATTGACAGTGTGTTATTGGCGACAATCCAATTCCTCGGGCACTCGAAGTGGACTTGGATTTGACTGACGTAATGTCTTCTTGGAGCCCACAGGTCAAAAACAAGATACGTCAGAACGACCTTAAGCAAACGATATTTTTTCATATCATCAAAACTCTAAATTAGGCAAAAGTGAAAAAATACCCATATCTACTTAAACCCATTTGGACTTAAGCCTCACATATTAATGATTCATCCAAAAATTCAATTTTAAAACTAAAATGTAGATGAATTTAAGTGTAGATATTACTGACAATTTGAGAAAAAATAATTAAAAGTTAATAAGAAACTCCTGATTGACTTACAGAAAGAATTATCAATAATACAATTTCCTGAAAAACAAAGTATGCATGTATTACAAAAAATTTACTTTATACCTCTGCTTACATTTCACTTTACCATACATCGCAGAGATAAGAAACATTTCCAAGCCACCGGCCTGGATGGTTATTGCCCTATCTAGCTGGGATTTAAAGGATTTTCAGGGTTATGTTTATTGGGAGCAGGTCTTAACTTGCCCAGGCAGAGGTCTTAATTTATGAGTACAATCTTAAGGTTCCAAGAGTTATTTTTTTTATATAATTAATAATATTACTAAAATAAACATATACCTGAAAAAGAGACATGCAGTGATTACCATATAAATGAAAAAGATACAAAGTCAGAGTATTTTTTAATCTTCCAGATACAGGCAGGTCGGCGTCCCCTAATGAGTTGGACCCCCCGGAGGGGAGGGGGGGAGGAGGGTTCGGTAATCATTGTTCTATATTTTTCTAGTGCCCTACAAATAATTTTTTTGTATTCTTTTATTTCCGCAAACTATAGGGGCCCCTCCGAAGGATCCACAACATAAATGTTTTGTACTTTTATATTGAGCAATAAATTAGATTATAAGAACGATAGGTACTGATATTTTTATATAACTTAATACCAATCCAATTATGAACTTGGCTTGAGAACCGAAAAGATAAAAAACAATGTTTCTTAATTATTATTTAATTATTTGAAGAAATAAACAATGCGTATTATTTCTAATATGTGCCTCCATAGAATAGTGATGGTCCAAATACCTTTATTTTGTGTTTATCTGGTACCGTTGTATGTTTGATCCTAAAAATAATTGTTTGAAAATTTCGATTAATTTATTATATATTTAAATTGTAGCAATATAGCTGAATTATGTATTATGACTCTTTCACATAAATACAGATTTAATTCCTAAAATTTTTATTATGTACTATGACCTTTCTTACTTGTAATTAAATATGTGTACTTTCAATCATCTCTCTTTGTATATAAAGATCAGAGACTGGAGTTATCCGATTCAAATAATTTAACCAACAATAACTGATTGGGCAGTTATTAGCGTTTTATTTCCTACGATCGATGTAATAAATAGGGTTTGTGTTATTTTGGTGGTTTTGAGGAGTTTTTACAATGATGAATATGACCGAATTCCAGAAATGTTTTCTTTAAAGTTTAACTCCATGAAAAATGTTCTTTGAAAATTTCTTGTAATAGTCCAATTTCACTAGACAAGTATTGCTTCTCTGAGTTTTTATTTTTTGTTATCTGTTTATTGAGGAATAATACAGTTTGCCACACTTAAGGGCCCTGAGTACTAAGGCTGAGTGAGGCACATTCATACCATACATACAATACAATAAAAAATAAGTAAATAAATAAAAAATTATACATCTATATAACTAAGGCAAAACCTATAATAAACCAAGGAAATGTAACTTTGAGTTAAAATTAAATAAAATACAGAAATTCGTAACAAAATTAAATAAATTATAAGTAAAAGAAATATATACAAACACATTCATACTTGAACTTGTCTAAGTAGAGCAGTAAATGGAAATTGTGTGTTACGCACACCGCACCAATTCCTTTTATTTATAATTATAATATTATATTTATAACTATAAACTTTTATTTAAACTATACAACAATAATTACTTATTACTAATATTAATATGACCATTACTAAGGAAAAGAAAGACACTAACAAACAGCAAGAGTTCCAAACGATAGCCATGATTATGACTGACATATTTGAGTCGAAACGTCGGCTAACCCATTAAAGAAATTTTGATTGAAATTCTTGAAAATTTTTGTTCAACCTTTAATTGATCAGTCGGCTATTTACACATCTCTAAGAAACAGTAAAGCCTGCCTTGAAGGCCATAACCAGACCTAGCGGTGGTCTAAAGGATTTGAAGGGGACAATATTAGGCTGTTAGCAGGTCTTCAATTAGGAAAAGCAGAGGTCGTCAATTTATGAGTATAGTCCTAATATTTGTTTAACAGTATAGTATAGTATAGTATAGTATAGTATAGTATAGTATAGTCCTAATATTTGTTTAACATGATGAACAATATCAAAATATAAAGAATCGTATTCTGAAATAATTTTAACTAGTAAATTTCACTCAGT